GAAATAAGAAAGTTGGGCCGCTATAGGTTATATAAACATTGTCAAAGCTACGGCGTCTTAGACCCTTCCAAACCGCTGTAAACCAAAGACCTGACGTCTCCAGCACGCTGTCAGAGAGAATTTCAACCCTGAGGTCGCCTTTGACTTTCAACGAACAAAGGACTTGGCCGCGGACCGATCTTGTAATTATACTTATTTTAATTGTAGCTGAGTCACGTGTTATTTAAAAAGAAAATCCTAAATGTCGATAAAATACATAGATTGATAGTAAAAAATATCGATAGAATGCACAAATTAATAGCACCGTTTTATTGCGACAGGTCTTTGGAAGACCGGGGGACTTTAATTTAATTTAATTAAACTCGAAGCTCCACTTCGGATTTCAAACTATAATTTCAATTCGGGTGAAATATACTATCTCATTTCAATAAAAGCGGTCTTTTAATGGAATGCACGAGGGCTATAGTTTCGAATTAATATCCCGAACTATCGAACCAGTGTGATTGGTGTATTAATTTTGATACTAAATTGACGTTAAATTAGAGTTTGCGTTTATTTATCCGCCTCGGGAGTACGAGTTGCTAAAAAGTTAACATCGAAATTGCTGTGTTATTCACCAGAATTCAAAGCAAACTCTCCCCGAAAAAGCACAAGCGGGCAACAATGAAACCCCGACGATTTAGAATCCACCGTTCCGCACTCGAATCATCGCAAAACGCATTCGTTTTCGGCCGTTGCACGCAAATGAAATGATCATGTCGCGTTAGTATCAACGACACCGGACATAATTGCGCGATGTATGCGCGGTTGCCTCGTTCGCCAAGCTTTTAATTAATCAAATCGTTCCGTACGAACGTACCAAACCCCGACGATGTTGATGGAAGTGAAATTAATAAAAACATGGCATGGCATTCCGTTAGATCCATCGTGCAAAGAGGACGAGGAACGAACGTGAAGAAGAGGAAGAAGGATGAAACGAAAATCAGAGGAATCAATTTTATACGCGTCGTAACCGATGATATCTCGCGGTTCGCCACCCCTTAAAAGTGCCTCCGCGACAGATATATAGTAATTGGAGCACAATCCTGCGACGTTTAGCTACTCAATAACGACGAGTGGCACGAGTGCGGCGCCAGCACGCCCTTCAGGCTTCATGCAAATTGCCGCCACCACTGAAATCCTATCCGTGTACTTTGAGCACCGAGCGATCGATTTCTGCCCTTCGATTCAATCTCGCCATCCTCCCTTTTAGCTCCCCTTCGCGATCTATCTGTACATATATATATATATATATATATGTACGGGCTTGTTTAAAAAAAAAAATTAAGTAGACAGAATTAGTCTCGAATGATTTCTTCAGGGTTTAAACTCTGTGAAAAATTTTAAATGTTGCACATGTGTCTCACTTTTTTCTTCTTCTCCCATCATTTTCCAATTTAAACTCCCAATCGATTCTTCTGATAGAAGTAGCTATCGTGATTCGACCGACGTTGGATTTTATCGCCGAGTCGGCGAAAGTTTAAGTTCGATGGATCAAGGTATGGTTGTTACTCGTAGCGTAGTTAAGTTCGATCGGTCGGGAGATGGTTCGCAATTGAATGCACGATATATATATATATATATATATATATATATATATATATATA